TAAACTAAAGTATTGGAGACTGTACAACATACAATAAATACCCTGAATCCAGAGGACCTTGATTTGGATAAGTGGAGATCAAGGTGGTCGGCAGGATCAGAAACAAACAGGTCTGACAGCGACATCCCACTGAGCCCTACACAAAACCTTTTTCTGCTAATGAGCGTTGCTATGGTAATGATGATGGCATAAGACTGGACAAATTCCTTGTGACCGCTCCTCTTTGGCCCTACAGTGTGACTGAAAGACCTCAGCTCTGCAGGGTGTTCACTGACCCTCAGGAAATTGAACTGGAAGTTCGCAACAGGGGATTATTATAGCAGGCGGTGGCACCTTGACCTTCAGCATTACACATTTGTGAGTGGAGCAGATTTTATTTGTTTTGGACTTGCTTGCTCCCTGGAGGCTTGTTGACAGGTACATCCTTTTAAAATCCTTTTCAGTTTTGCATAATGGAATAAGAAAAGAAAAAATAACCTGCAGCCAGAGGTCTCTATGCATCGCTTTTGCTCTATTATGACATAACATAAAATGTCTTAGTAAAAGTGTTTTGGACATGTCATCAAAACAGCGTCAGTGCTCCTTGACATAGTTCCTCCAAGTCCCTATAAATCTACTGAAGGGATAAACACAATTCTTGCAAAAAATATTCCCTCATTTGGTACTTTTGGACTCATGTGTCCAAAGTCTCAAATAGGTGAGATCTGATGACTGTACGTGCCACTTGTGACCCCACAAATTTTCAACAACAAAAAAAGGGATGTGAGAACAGTCAGAACCACTCTGAAGTAGACCTGAGTATTGATGAGCTTGACCCAAAAGGAGTCTTTTCTTCTCCTTCACTGTTGGCAAAGAACCCCTCAATTTTCCCTGCCACCTTACAGTTCACACTTTACATCTTGCCTAGATTAGTCACAATTGAAAATAATTGTTAGTTGCAGTCCTTACAGCAACAGACGCACAGACGCAACTTCCACAACAATAGAAAGAGGCCCTACCTAGGGTTGGACAATAAAACAATAACAATAATTATCGCAATATAATGTTTTTCAATAACAATATAACAAATGTTCAATAAATATTCAATAAATGTTTGATTTTATTCACATGAATCATACACAAATTAGGACCTTTTTTTATTAAGATGTTTTTTTGTGGAGGAAAAGAGAGCAAAAAAGCTTTTACTTAATTTGACTCATGCATATTTGTTGACAAAGATTTTATCATAATTGTTTTTAATGTTCTACCTCAGATTTGTGAAGTGATCCACTGATTGGCATCTAGTGTTGACCACAAATAAGAGTTTAAACCACAATTAACCATCAGGTTTCTTCAACTTTCATTCAGGAGCAAATATCAGCCTTTAAACGCGAAATAAATAATGATTTGATAGTTATCGTGATAATTATCGATATTGAAAGAAATGAAAATTTGTTTGTGTATAATTTTAATCTGGCCTGACTTGGGTCCTGGTTGGGGTCACAGTTACTAGGACCCAAGTGGACCCATCAGACCCTCTTCCTCAGATTTGTCTTGGGAGAGGTCCCAAGGTCCTGCTCTAGAAGACCATTTTTATATATTGATGTTAACTTTGACCTCTGTTGCTCTGGGCTGTGTTCCCTGTCAAACACTAATAAGTGGGTGGGGTATTCCTTGTCACTAATGAAGACTGATAGGAATGCAGGAATGCCTCGGGCTCAACAACAGGTGGAGATTTAGATGAAGCCTCAAAGTCTGTCTGTGTTCATTCATGGCAACAGATAGATGTGTGAATCTGGAAACTGTTCTTTCTTTCCTTCAGGGCTTCGTTGTATAGTGTTACTGACAGGTGTGTTTCCTCCTTTGTAAATCATGTTAGGCAAAGGATGTCACTTACAGCCTTGTTGGCTGGTTGTTGTCCCCTCATGCAGTTTAAAATATCATTAAATGAATGTGAATGTGTACAGTTACAGTGCAGACAGGAATATTTGTTACCATTCATATCTGTCCCATCAAATATGAAGCTAGAGCCAGGAGGCAAATTTGCAAATCCTGCTATGGCAAGTATGAAAGAACAGGAAGTATTTGCTGATGAAAGAGATGCAAAGGTAGCTAGCAGTCTAATCACAGTGCAACCCTTGCTGTAATTTAATGCCATGCCTTGAATAGAATAAACAGTGTTTGAAATAGTAGTAAGCTATGACTCAATGTAACAAAAACACCAGATCTCCCCTTTCAAGGATCAATGGGACTGCCATCGATTCAGCAGACCTAGCTAATGTTCAGTCAAATGAACCAGATGGACACTGATAGTTATAAACATACAAACATTTTTATTCATGAATAAATGAATGAGTGAGTGAATAGCATGAGCCATATAAACGACACAAAACAGGCAGTTAACAATTAGAGGAGGAGGGCGGTGGGCAGCGGCCAGGGACCAACACCAGTTCCAGATCTGAAACTTACTAATTAATACATTATATCTCCTTTTTTTAATCAGTTAAAACACCAACGTGTAAAAATCACTATTTGTTGCTTTATGGAGGTTATGTGTGTCAAAATGTCAAGACTTTATTTCCTGTACAGATTCAAGAAAGAGATATAACGTGTTATTAGTTTTTTTTTTTTACCTTTGGACATAGCCAGCTAGCTGTGTCACAGTTTCCAGTATGTGCTAAACTAAACAGTAAGTAATAAAGCAGAGAGATAAAAGCAACAAGTGAAGCAGCAGACAGTGTAACTCCTTTTTGTTCCTGAGTTTTATGCACAGCATCTGTTAAAGTAGCCACATCTTTTAGCGCCGCAGACGGAGATGACTCAGTGTGAGGTCAGTTGTTCCCGCAGTCTTATGAATTAGACATGAGTGACGGTGTGGTCCAGCTCGGAGCTGAGCGTGCAGGTTGATGTTGGCAACATGAGGCCATTTGTGACGTCTGCTTTATTAATAAATAATAATCTCTGGGTATCAGGTGGTATACTTGCTGCTAACTAATGGGAGATGACCACTTAGATGTTACTAAGTTGTAAAAGGGGCAGAGAGTTTATTCTAGAAACAACCAGAAAGTGGCCATTAATACAGCGTTTGATAACAAGTATTTTTTTATTTATTTATTTTTTTTAAATGTCCTTGAAGCCGATTGTTTCCCCTGAAACTAAATTCTGGAAGTGATGTACTATCACTACCATGCCTCTGATGTACCTACTGTGTCTTGTCATAAGCATCATTAATTTCATTGTTTAAGCCTAGGAAAGTATCACATCACAGTAGCCGTGTCGACTGTGGCAGTGAGTGATACGTTGTCCTGAAACAGAACCAGTTTCCCTTCAATTTAGGACTACAACCGTTGATTTGAAAAAGAGGGAGAGGGGAGGGGTGGGTGACTCAAATGCTTCCTTTCCTTCTGGTCTATGAAGTTAAAGACTGCTTAGGTTTTCCAGTTCTCTTTAACCACACCACCAAATCAACCTCTGATTTTGGAAAGACTTTCTTTTTGAAAGATTTTCCAATGACTCAGATTTTAGAGGTGTAATCTTCTAAAGAAAACTGGTTGTAGATTATCACTGTATGAACATTCTTGCTATCTCCATCTGTCCCCCCTACAGTGAGCTTTTGCAGGTGTTAAAATGTGAATTATTCCTCCTTTAAAAGGACTGTATTTGAGTGAATTTGAGGTCCTCTCAGGCCTAAAGCAGTTCACAGATTAAGATTTGCTAGATAGCAACTGTGTAGTAGTGGAAATGTCTGTGAGCCTGGTAACATGACATAAATGTCTTCTTCAGTTGCTTCTGTTGGGTTTGCTGTTGCATTGTTTTCCAGGGTGACTTTGCAAAGCAATCTGACAAAATTTGCCTGTTCTCAACTTTTTTTTTTCTGGTGCATCATGTAGTTTTGTTAATGGTGTTGCTATGCAACAGGATCTGATGATCTAAATACATATGCGACCACTAGTACTAGATGCTGATTGGCCACTGGTATCTGTCCCTTTGATTTAAATCAGGAAATGTGTCTAATTGGATTTTAGTAATTGTTGCTTTTCATTTGAGTTTATCTTCCTCTGCAAGGAATTAAATGAAAATGGATTTAATGAAATCAACATTTAAGAGCCAGAAATAATTACACAGATCATTATTTAATTGAAAATTGATTTGAATATTAGTTAAGTTATTTATGGTATTTATTAGATTTGCACAATATATTGACAGTATATCGCTATTGCAAGTACACGTTGCGTCCGTTGGTTGTGTGGCTTAGTTGTGTTCGATTTCAAGCCTCCTTGAAACCACTATATAATGATCATGCTTCATTGGCCAGTTGCCCTTCCACATGCAAGTGTGCATGGGTCCACTGCACAAACAAACCCTATTGAGCATACCAAGCTGCATACTTCTGCAGCGTGTGAGTAAGAGAGAGAGCGTAAGAGAGAGAGAGAGAAACGAAAAGAAAAGCAAGAAAGAACAAAAAAGTAAGAAGATGAGTGGAGCTCAGGGAGACAACGAAATAACTGAGATCAAAGGGTAAACGTATCAGAAACAGGCCCCGTCAACTGGTGTTTTTACATATGTTTAAGGATATCGAAATTAATGTCGTAATCGCAATAGTAATGATCAATATCGCAATATCAGATTTTGTCAAAATTGTGCAACCCTAGTACATTATTAAATGAGACTTATTGTGAAAGTCACAATATTGCTTTAACAATGACTTTTTATATTTGTTAGTAGCCCATTACATGAGAACTCCTTAAGAATGAAAATGATACCAAACTGTGTAACAGAAACTAAGCTGTTGGTGTAATGTGTAATGACATTATACACCCCACAGCCTGACTTCAAAGCCCTTCAAAAATAGAAAAAAAGAGGATTTGCCATTTCCTTCATTGTGAGCCCCTTTTTCTGGGTACCCCTTCACTTTTGATCTGTCGCACCCCTTAATTTTCTCTAATTTCAGATTGTCCATGACAAAATGCATGACTGCCTCTGTATAATCCTGTCCTATGTTGTTTTTGTTTCTCTTGTAGCTCCATGGCCATCGTCGCCCCCCACCCTCTCCCCCGGGTGGTAACCTTCAAAGAGTCTGCGCAGCACGATGGATGACCAGCTGGGTGATGGAGATGGACAGAATCAAAGGACATGCTCCCTTCATTGTGACTAGATGAAGGGACATCTACCTTCTTGCAGCAGTGAGGGGACACACACTGCAGCATTTTGACGTTCTTCAGAGTGAATTGATGCACCTAAAAGAAAACAAATTCTAGTACTTTGGAAATCCCTTTGAAGAGGAAATACTGATCAGTTTGGGTACCATACTCTCTCAGCAAAGAGCTCATATGCTGACTGCTTGTCCCTGCTTGTTATGAGTTGTCCATCCTCAATCAATGAGCCAGAGAGCTGCAGCAGTGAGCGAAGCAGCTGCACCACTTCCTCCATTACTACCTCTGACCCATCCTCTATGTCTGGACACACTCACGCCACCCTACCTTCCCTCAGTGATACCTCTGACACCTCCAAGCATGCTCCTCCGCCTCCTCCCCTGCCACCCCCACCGCCTGGGGCACCCCCGCCCCCTCCACCCCCGGCGTCCACCAACCACAACGCAAGGAAAAAGCGCCGCGTCCGCAGCTTCTTCTGGAAGCCGATACCGGAGGAGAAGGTGCGCGGGAAGCCCAACATCTGGACAATGGCGGTGCGGCAGCAGCAGTACCAGATCGATGTTCGCTCTGTGGAGGAGCTGTTTGGGCAGCAGGAGGAGGCAGTGACAGGCATACGTGGGGCGACACCAGACACTGGAACCTCAACACGTGTCTCCCGGTCCCGCTCCTTCAAGGAGAGCAGCAAGGATGAGGTGAGTCTGTTGTAGCTCTGAGACCAGCAACACTAGAAAATTTGTCTTGATGGTTAACAAAGAAGATATGTGATAGTGGAGTTTAGAGTGCTGGCACAGTAATAAAATATTAATACTCACTGGCAAGTCCAGTTTATATTATATGTTTATTTAATCATGTTCATGATCAAGATTACTTTTGCAAGAGAGACCTGAGTACAGCAGAGGGAAATAGATTTATATAGCAGACACACAACAAACATAGCTGGTCAAACAAACAGCAGGAGAAACAGTCACTCTACAAAAGTTAAAAAATATTATGTTTAAATTCATCCAATGAACTTCCTTTGTTATTAATTCCATTGATACGGTGCAAAGTAGTGGAAGGCAGCCTTCTGAAGTTCAGAATTCACTCGTGCGGCATCAAGAGAGATCTGATGTTTAAAATTTTAGAAGAGGTGATATGTAAGGCAGCTTTAGTAGGAGACGTTTATAAACAAAAACTATTGTGTATAGTTCGGTTCTTGTTGCTAGTGAGGACCAGATTACTTTTTCATAAAGTACACAGTGATGAGTGTAAAGTTTATTCACTGTAATAAAATGCAGCACACAATAGTAAACTACATGAAGTTATTTTTTAAAGCATTCAAGATTCAGTATTATAAGATTTTTATTGCTTTTTAAATGTTGAACCCAATGAAAGTGTACAGATTTATAGAATTAGGGTTTATATTTTTCCTTTTTTTAACCAAAAAAATGACATTTCATTCATTTTGCACACTATATATATATATATATATATATATATATATATATTAGATTACAGTGACCATATTCTGTTTGATTCTCTGATGCGGAAAAACCTGCTCAGAGTCAGAAAATACACAAGCTTGATTAGTGGAAACATGTAGGCCTAAACTCTTGGAAGTTCTCAACCATACGATACTACAGTACATAACTCTACCTCTGCTCCTACTGTATTAAGATATCCCTGCAGGGACACGTTAGGTAATGGTGCTCAAAAGCATGCTTTATGGACTCCTGGAAAGTAACATGAACTATGAGGCAAAACCTGCATGAGGAGTCGGGAGAATTGTTCTGTCCTACCAACAGTCCAAAACCCAAAGATATTCAACTACTAATGATATCAAACAGAGACAAGCAGCAAATCTTCACACTGGAGGAAAACTTTTGGCATTTTTGTCTGATTAATGACTTAAACAACTGATTGTTTATCAATATTGTTCATGTTAATCTTCTGTCAATTAACTAATCATTCAGCACTATATTACATACAGTATATCATTTGGGTATTTTCAAGTAAATTTAACTAAATAGTTTCTTGTCTTCCTCCATTTCACCTGGACTCATCTTAAATTTAAACCACAGAAGTGTCTAATTGCTATTTTAAAGCTGTAATTAGGTCTCTTTTTAAAAATGTTTGTACTGTACATTCAAGGCAGTGCAAGGCATTGTTAATGAAGGAGGCGTAAACTACATGTGGGGCCCAATAGAATTCCAGTATCCCATAAGGTGGTGTGGGTGGTGTTGGGAATATGTACTGTAGGTAACCCAAGCAACAACAAACAGAGTACTTCAAAAAAGAAGGAAGGGCTGTGGGAACATACGAGTGTTTCATTGTGTGTTTAACCGAAACTACAGCACAATCATGCATCACTTATAATGTCTTTCATTTGTTTTCAGATCAGCATCCTTGACTCCAAGAGGGGGATGAATGTGGGCATTTTCTTGAAGCAGTTCAAGAAGTAAGTGTTCCAACTGCTTCCCAAACTAAAACATAAAATGTCTTAGTAAGCCTCCAGAACTGCTTTGATGCTCCAAGTCTCTGGAGTCTAATAAGACTTGTTATTCCTTCATTTGGTGTTTTGAAAGTGCTTTCTAAAAAGCCTTTTGTCATTTCCTGCATGCCAGTTGAAGACCAGAGAACACAGATGCATCATAAAGACAGATGAAGTAGTCATGGTACAGTTGCTTGGTTGGGCTGATCCGAGGAGTAAATGTGCTAAAATTACCTTTGCTTTTATGGAGAGTTGACCCGTGTTGATGAATGGAAAAAGCTCTTGCACTCCAGAAGTCGGTATCAGATCATACTCTCTGACTGTGAAAGATCCGAAGAATCCAGCACTTTGTCGATACCTTGTCCTCATTTTACTGATGAATGTATTCTGCCTCATGCAGGTCTGAGCGCCGATGTTCTGGTGTGGTGTTCTGATATATATCTTATCATCTGTGTGTGTTTTGGACCAAAATCACCCATAGCTATTTATTGTGATGAGATCTGGTTACTGTGAAGTTCACATCATTTTCATTCTCATCAAACCATTAATGTTTCTACACTCATTTATTCACGTTTTTCCTTTTATTTGTCACCCGGCTGCATATACAGTATACTCATGATGTTTCTGTGGGAGAACGCAAGGCAACTAATTGTTGTTGTGTAAAGGTTTTAGAAATGAAAAGGCCTTAAAGTCCAGATTATGAGGCCACAACAGTGAAGAATAAGGAGTACAATGTGTCTAGAAGAAAAGAGGGAGCTGAACTGAAATTTGGCAGGCACTTAGTTAGCTCGGGCCAGTGCTGAGAAGTAGGAGATATTTGGCGATAACGAGGAGGGCAGTGAGCTATCTAACCTTTTGTTTCTTCATCGTACCATTTTCTAATGGCTAATGGACACTAATTGATCACAAGGTATTTTGAAACTTAGTAGAAAGGGAATATAACTGATCATAGCAGGGGTTTTTTGCTGTCCTACTTCATGTACCACATTTGGTTATGGTGCGTTATAGGTGTTCACAGTGCTGTCCCAGAGATCCAACACTGATGGTATCTTGAAAAACACTGTCAGTTTCGGTTTCAGGCAAAATCCATTATAAATCTTTTTAACTGAGGGAGATTAGGCTCAGAATCTGTGTCACTGATTCTAATAGGCTTTCTTAGCTCCCCATTGTTTATAATGAATTGCTTCTGGAAATCTCGAGTGTGTTCGACCAGCATTGTGTTACATAAGTCGTCTGGAGCAGAGTACCTAAAGTGTGTTACGTTTCTGTTTGCATGACAGTGTATTTGCATGGCTCCCCACTGTATTTTAATGCCATTTGACTGTCAGCCATGCTGTGCTCAGTCAGGACATGCGTGTGAGCAGTGACTTCATCACAGTGTTTATTTTTGTGTGCCTTTTCATTTGACTTCAACTCTAATATGGTTTGGTCCCCTGTCCTATATATGATCCTCTGTCCTCTCCTTCAATGGTTTACAAAATGATTTGAGTCAGTTTTCACAATAGAATTTCAAAGTGCAAAAAGCACTCAATAAATGTAGGCTCAAATACAATGTGATACTCTTTTAAAGTAAGAGTCAACCAAAAGTAAAAACAATATACAGAAATAGATTTGCGAAGTGGGAGAAGCCACAGATTACGGAAGTTTCTTTTACCACTGTAAATTTTCCATTTAGGTTATTTCTTTTAACGTCATGCTGAATGTTCCTCAAAATAGAAACACAGGAGTCTCCTGGATAATTTAATGGTAGTATAGATGTATGTTCTGGGCAACAGTTTTAACTATTTCAACCTTGTTGCTGAGAAATCCTTTTTTGTTTAGTTTATTTGTCCATTTGGATTGTAAATGTCTCCAAATACTACAATGTCCATGAGTCTTAGCAACTGAAATGCATGTCATACTTAAAAGTATAAAAAGTAATTGCATAAAAACAAATGTTTATTTTGAGTGTAAATTCAGTATCTTAGTATACTTATACAGAAAATATAAAATATCTAAAAACAAACAAAAACAAAAAAACTGATCTAACCTGCAGAATGTTTTATCAAGTATCTGTTCATTTTAAACCTTTAGCTTCAGTTAGCTGTTAGCAACACGCACAAGACATTTTTTGTCTCACTCTGTTTTTATGAACCTTTTGAGTTTTTATAAAAGAACCAGAAATACTTGTTCATCTTCTGTATTAATGATTCAGCTGAGATTGTTTCATGTCCATCCAAGCCTTGGAAGTCACCTAAGATTTTCTATGCAGAAAGTGAACAGGAGTAAAAGTCCCATCATAAACAATCTAGTTTGTGTTGTATGCTTAACTTTGGCTTGAACACTTAAATCTTCTATCCTTTCTTACATGGGCTCACAAATGCTTTATGTCAGTTTTCACAAAGTGCAGAATTAATTATGAAGCAATCCATAAATTTGGTCTATATATATAAAATACTACACAGCATGAAACTATTAGATGGCAACAAATTAGTTTTCATGCTATTATAGTTTGCAGAAATACTGTTTCTTATAATGTAATCTTATAATTACTGTTACAGCGACCATGATTTAACATACTTTTACATACTTTTGGTATAGTTTATTCATATATGAGTGTCTCTACATGTAATTAGACATGATTGAGAATACATGTTGAACTGTGAATGTCATGTGCTGTAAGGAGCAATGCAATGCCCACATGTATAGTAGAGGGAGTGATGTTTTTCATTTTACTTATATTGTCCGTAACATTGTCATTGTCAGTATTTTTGGTTTGTTTTGCCTGTTAATAAAGTCAAGCCTGACAGGGACTCTGTGAGTAAAAGTTGGATTTATTACTTTTGTAAACACAGGAGAGCGAGCATTAAGTGAGCACCTGTGCTATTTATCATTGAACTTAATTGAAACAAACTGTTTGTCTTCTAGGTCCAACCGCTCCATTGTTGAAGACATACGACAAGGAGAAGGAAAGATTTATGGAGCAGAGCTGCTCAAAGACTTGCTGAAGCTCCTGCCTGACGCAGAGGAGGTTTGTGTTTTTGAATGTCTGTGTGGCTTTTAGCAAATTATGAATTGGTACAATGTTTTTGAATTAAAAACCAAAACTGACGATAAAAGACAGCTGAATGTAGATAGAAAACAATAAAGCCTGCTGAGCTTCCTCTTTCTCTATTTTCCCAACAGATCAAGAAATTTAAGGCTTTTAAAGGAGACCCAGACAAGCTGACACTGGTCGATTCCTTTATGTACCTCTTGATCCAGGTGCCTTGGTAAGTAGCTTTCAATCGTGTGTACATAGTGTAGTTTCGGTCCAAGAGAAATGTGATGTTGTTTGACAGTCAATGAAAGAAGAAAGGTTTTGCACCATTGTTGTCATTTTGTGAGGACAGATTTGGATTTTGTGGGGACTTTCCAGCAAACTTGTACTGTGTTGTATGTGTATTTACTTTTCTGGGACAGTGCACATGAATTAACATTTTAAAATATAGCAGAGCTAGAAACGACTGAGTCATAGATATCTGCAGTCTCTTCCCAAAGTGTTGTTTTTTTTTTGCAAGAACACTGGGTGAAAACACTGAAGTAGTATTAGTGTAACAGAGATGGTGAAATCAGCTCCCACTGCTACTCAGCCTAAGATAAATATATATCAAGTTATGTTCTACATTTTTAAATGAAAATGATGTTTGGGCTTCTCTGCAGAACCTTAACTTGTCCTTTAAAAGAAGTCTGTCAACTCCTTTTCTCATTTCCTCACAGCCTACAGAATGACATCCATCAGATTTAACATCTGTCTTTTTTGTCTCTGACAGGTTTGAGGTTCGGATCGAGACCATGGTCCTCCACGAAGAGTTCTTCCCTTCCTGTGCTGTAATGAGCCACGAGATCGATGTCGTCCGCGTCGCCACTAAAGGTAATAACACACAGGCTCTTCTACCTTCTCACACACACACACATAGTTGTATGTGCTCAGACAGGTGACCCAGATATTCGAGCTGTCAGCGGTGCTGAACAAAAAGTAGGAATGTGTCACCTGAGACCAGAGATGCTCACAAGTCTTTGAGCTAGAGTCCAAGTCAAGTCTCAAGTCCCAGACTCTTAAACCCAGTGTAACGTTAACTAAATAAAACTGTAACGTTACATGGTCAAAGCTTACAGAGCACAACCATGTCAGCCTAATGTAGGCTACGATGCGTCTACAATTAATGACAGCTTATTAAATACTGTAAGTCAACACACCCCGCAGACTCAGAACCAGTGTAACATTAACTAAATAAAACTGTAACGTTGCATGATTAATAAACCTGTTTTTCACATAAAGAGCTCAACCATGTAATGTGCAATGAATTTAATGACAGCTTATAAACTACTGTAAGTCAACACACCACCAGACTCTCAAAACAATAAACTGTAACCTGTTTTTCACAGAGCACAACCATGTAATGTGCAGTGCAGTCTATAACAGCTTAAACTCCTGAAAGTCAACACACCACCAGACTCTCAAACCAGTATAATGCTAACTAAATAAAACTGTAACTTTACATGATCAACAATGAACCTGTAGCCTGTTTTTCACTTACAGAGCACAACCATGTAATGTGCAATGCAATCAATGACAGCTTATTAACTACTGTAAGTCAACACACCACCAGACTCTCAAACCAGTGTAGGCCTAATGTTAACTAAATAAAACTGTAACGTTACATGATTAACAATGGACCTGTAACCTGTTTGCAGCCAACGGTAATAATTAACATGATGGCAGCCAGCGGGGCGTAAATAATTACGTTAATCGACCACCACAAGTTTGGCCAGACAATAAACACTCAATCTTCTTTTCGTAACGAACGACAGTCAGACCCATGTTAACATGTTAACATTATTAGCAATAAACACAAAGTACAACTAAGGCTGATGGCAATTGTCAAGGTATTTGTTTTGGACCCATTGATTCACCAAAGTTGTTACAAATTATCATGGGGGCAACATGAATATCTGTACCATTTTTTATGGCAGTTCATCTGATAGTTGTATTTCAGTCAGGCCGACCAACATCCATCCTTAGAGCCACGCCCCCAATTTGTAATTTACAGTAAAATAACAAGTTTACGCACACACAGAGCACATAAACCAAATATGTATTTTTTTTCTGGCTAGTTAGCATGCTAATTTAAGTAGATATCTCTGCAGCACAATACATAGGCGTTGTTGACATTACATCAGAGCTGTACATCATTACATTCTGATCATATTAGTTAATTTTTTGAATATTTTAAACTAAAATTCTGGCCAAATCTTCCACATTGTACCTTTACTACAGGATCGTGACCTTTTCTCTGCATTGCAGAGCTATCCGTTAAACACTGCAGGTGACAAATAAGCAGAACTTATAATGACACCATTTAATGAAACCTTTAAACAATATTTAACATTTACCCTTACTGTTAAAGGACTCAAAATGACTGTTAAAGGACTAAATAAACTTCCTATGAATTTGGAGTCGGCTGTCATTATTACTGCTGAAAGTTGCTCTCTGTGGTGGTGGTAAATGAAAGTAAAGTAGTGCGTAATGTGCTGCTGCTGTTGATTCTCTAATTGAGTTCATATTGATCTCGTCCTATAGAGCTGATGAACTGCGAGGAGCTTCATGCCATTCTGCATCTGGTGCTACAGGCCGGAAACATCATGAACGCTGTAAGTCTTAAAAGTTACTATATGTTCTATTCATACATTACTTTTGTTTTCCTATCTGTCTGATTTAAAGGACTATACTTGCTTTAGGTTATATATTTTTGAAAAATCTCATGAAAACACAATAACATCAAATGTGATTGTTTGTCTCTGAATACTTTCTGACTTCCCTACTCTGTGGCACACTACCCCAAGCCCATTCATTCCTACCGAGGTCATAAATCTTTTTAAATGCATCATAAATACATAGTTACATACAAGTGATTTCCTTTACCAGCTGGGCACTACAGTTTTTGCAGTTGTTACTCTGACAGGAGTAAATTGTGCATTTGGTAGAGACTTACCATTGGCCTAACATAAAGACTGCAAACACAGGGAAAAGGCTAGTCTGACTTCGTCCAAAGGTAAAAGAATATCTGCCTACCGGCGTCTCTAAACCTCCCTAATTAACATCAACGTTTGTTGATTTGGTTGAAGTGCTGGTTGGACAATTTTTCTAACTTTAGACAGAGACATGTTTGCTGTTTTCTCCTGCTTCCAGTCTTCATGTTAAATTAATCTAATTGGCTACCTGCTCTAGCTTCAAACTTAGCATACATAAAGAATGGTATCAAACCTCTTATATAACTTCTGGCAAGAAAGCAAATAAGCATATTTCTTATAATGTCGACCTACTCCTTTCATAAATTTTGGATCCCTATAGAGGTCTATGGCACAGAGGAATACAATGTATCAGGCTTTGGCGACATAAGCTATACTTACTCTTCTCATGGGATTTGTTGTTAACAAGACAAATATAAAACATCACCAGGCTTATCCTTGAACATATTGATAATGTTTGTGAGATCTTTAATTAGTTCCTCTTTGGTTCTCAGGGTGGGTACGCAGGCAACGCTGTTGGGTTCAAGCTGTCATCCCTCCTCTCACTGGCTGACACCAAGGCCAACAAGCCAGGGATGAACTTGCTGCACTTTGTCGCCATGGTAAGCGAAGGCTTCAATTATACAATTTATGCACATGATGCCATTAAGACCTGTACTTATGGAATCCAATACAACACAGCAAGATGAGGCTTGAAATGAATGTTGAAATCTTCACACGGCTACTGTTTGTTGCAAGGTTACAGATGCACTAAATCAAACCTCAACTGTAATAATAATAATAATAATCAATAGGTTCTCTTGTGTTTTTGGAGCCATGAATGTGTAAAATAGGCACTGTTTTCACCTATTAAGAGGTTACAGTACTGAATGTGTACTGTATCTATGAGATATACTGAATTGTAATTCAATTAAATTCTAATTGTAAAAGTAATGTACTGTACTATGGAAACTGTTTTGGAGATGTTACTCAGGTATCTATAGAACCATTTTGTCCCATTAATATTTCATATTTCTACATCTGTGGTATCTCCTGATTATTACAGTCAAATTACACAAAAATGTGTGAAATCAAAATAAAGTGGGACACACATTTCAGTCCAACATGCAAAAAGAGACAGTCATTTGTCAGCCACAAATAATTAGTTTTATATAAATCTTTCACAGCAGTGGTGCTTGACTAAACAGCGTCCAAATACTAAGACTGCAGGAGGGCAGGTGGACAGCAGATGGTGACAGGAAACAGAAAAGACCCAACAAAGGCTGGCCAAGCACTTACGTAACCTAACAAAGAGCAGTCCTCCTCACTGCAATGATGCCACTTTATCATGTATAGTAACAAACATTTGGATGTAAAATGTGTGATCCACACAGGAGGCAAAGAAAAAAGACGAGAAGCTACTCAGGTTTCCAGAGAAACTTCATAATCTCCAGAGCGCATCCAGGTAATCTTGTTCATTTTGTACCCGCTCTGTGGAATAATTTGTCAATGCACTTGTATCTTGACTGTGAAGTTAAGAATGATTTTATCAAGCAGGCTGGAACATTTAGTTTTCCATAATAACCTCTCTTTAATGTTTTTACGCACAGTGGCCTCTGACAAACTAGTAAAAAATACATTTTAAAGAGGTGGTATTATGCTTTTTGGCTTTTTCCCTCTCCTTTATTGAGTTATATACTTTTTTTGAGCATGTAATAGGTTTGCAAAGTGAAAAAAAACTTTATGGATGAAAAATACATTTGTTACAGATTAATAACTTACCACTGTGAAACTCTTGCTCCAGTCTATGTTGCCAAGCTGGTAGGCAACATGTACAGCTGAACCGAAGTCCTGTCTACCAGCTTCTCACTGAACTGCCCCTCTCTGCTTCTGATTGGCTAGTAGTCCTTAACTAGGTACTACACATGTGCAACTCCCAACAAAGATAATTTAGAGACAAGATGTATCACTACACAGCTAAAACAAAGCCTTCACACACAGAGTGAAAAGAGGAGCTGTAGCAATGTGCAGGATGACAAAAAATATGGTGTTTTTTGAAAATTAAACCATGTAAATCTGTTCTGGTACAACCCCTAAATAGGATTTTGAAAATGAGCATAATACCACCTCTTTAAGTATGTAGTTCTTTTCAGTTTTATTTCTGTGTCCTGTAATTGACCAAAAGGGTGAATTTGATCAAAACTCAGCCAGCCTCATTATGCAAGCTGACATCTACCTTGTGCGGTACTTTAAGAGTAATTTTCAGAACGCAGTGTGTTGCTGGTGGCTGTCAGGCTCTGTCAGCTTCACAAGGTCATCTCTTTATGGAGTCAGTGCAGCTCCTTACGCTCCAAGATTACTCGTCCCTCCCTCTCTCCCTCAGGATATGTGAATGCATTTCACATAGCAGTCCTATCTTCACCTTTAATGGAGAACAGTCTGACTGTGTATTCAGCAAAATGCTGTCAGATATCGTCATGCTAAGTAGTGTCAGTCAGTGATGTGATTAGGTATGTAATCACCAAAATGGTCTCTAAGCACATTTCCCTGATCTGAATCTTTCTACTATAATGTCTTCATGTAGAATCTCAGTGGAAAACATCGAGTTGGAGTATTCCTCTTTATATGTACGGATTAAATCCCTGGAGGAGAAGGTTCAAGGAGACCAAGAGCTACTGCAGCAGCTGGAGCCCTTTCTGCAGGTGAAGCAGCAGCAGTAGTTATGTAATACATTATATGCACAGCCACACATACAAAAAGTTGGATCCAGGCCACTGTACATTTCTGGCACTGCTGACGCTAGCGCTGTAGAAAGTGACATCCATAAAAGTGTTTAACATTTTATAAATAAAGAAGGTGTGTGCCTGATGTCTCAGAGTTCAGCAGAGAAGCTTCAGGACCTGAAGAGGCGCAGGCTGGATCTGCGTAAAGAGGGGAACGCTCTGATCGATTTCTTGTGTGAAGACAAGGACACCTTTAAGCTGGACGAGTGCTTCCGCATCTTTCAAGACTTCTGCATCAAGTTCAAGAAAGCTGTCAAGGTCGGCTTTAGTGAATGGATATTTGGTTTAATACAGCTTTTCATAGTTTTTGGCCCCATGGGTAATAATAACATTGTTCTCACATAGTTGTTTGCTGTGGTCTGGGAACACATCGCTGAAAAGACCTGGACAAGAAACACAATGAGACAATTAGACAGGTTGTAAAGAAAACCCCACTTTAGCCAACTTTATTTGGGGTTCTTTGTAAAATTATTATCCAAACTGTTCAACTTCAACTTCAACTTTCAACTTCTGCTTTAACTTTATTGTCTCCAGCGGGAAAATGGTCTCTCCAGCCAGGTAAAGCACAGAACACAGAATGACATCCTGATCCAGCGTTGGCTTAACATACCTCCAACATAGCATACCTCATTTTCTTGTGCAATGAGAGATTTTTACCAAAATTTCTTGTGCGCTCACTGTAGGTTTTAATTTCAAATTATATATAATCATTATATAATCATAGCTCGTGTTTCTTGGCCACTCAGATGTTGTGTAGTGATGCTATTCTCAGATCTTGCCATTACGCCACATGTACAACTTCACTCATTGTCGAATTAATGGAGACAGGAAGTAATTTATTCCAATGGGACATTGTTGGTCTAGTGCTCCCGTTGGATTAGCCAAACATTCTAAGCTTCCGTCCACATTATTGTGGCAGTTCTGTCCAATTCTGTCAAGCTGCTGTGTATCTTGGAGTAGGGATTGCACCCACAAAGCAGTCTGCTACAATAGGAGAGCAAGTTTTGCAGGTTCTGTTACTTTGATGAATATAATGATATGATTCCCAAAACTACAAAAGTAAGACCCATTTTGAAATACTGGGGCAATATCACTTAAGATGAGTGAATTTAGAGGTAAAAAGATGCATGTTCATTTCTTCTAGTCTGATTTGATCTTACCATCGTCCTGCCTGCGTCTTAACATTCTCCACCTTCCTTTTACTCTCAGGACAACGTGGACCGTGAGTTGAAGGAAGCTGCCAGACAGCGTCGTCTGAGGGAGTTGGAGGAAAAGCGTTTTGCTTGGTCGGGTACAGATAAGAGTGGTGTATTTGGTCGGAGCAGCAGCGAGAACGATGTAGAGATGCTCACTAAAGAAGGCCTGCTGGACTTTTTCCAGCAGAGGGCTCAGAGTCCACACAGCCCGCTGGGACGCTCAGCCAGCGCCCGCCGCCATCGCCACACCATGACCTCCATAGCAGACCGAGAACTCCAAGGATACCTGGAGCTATTTGGGGGCACTGGGGATCCCGCTGACTATTCTAAGTTTAACAGCCTACCTCGGTCGGGCCGCGCTTTGCAGCGCAGGACAACCCCCTGGATCTTAGCCCAGGATGACAACCGTGAGCTGGGCTGCGACAGACAGGTAACGTCTCCACATGCAGAAACTGAGCCTGTGAGTCCGCTGGCCAGGTTTTCCTCCTCTGGCTTAAATGATAAAGACCCCTACAACAACAATAATTACTCATCTGTGTCAGAAGGCAGCGTTCTGCCTCGGTCCTTGTGTGTCTTTAAGAAGCCCTTCCATCTTCCCGACCCAACAGTTAGCGGCCACTTGAATGTTTGTGTTGAGACGCACACTTTAGTTAGAGGTCCTCAAGCTTTTGACCTACCTAGTCCAAATAATAACAGTAATCATATGCACTTTGTCAACAAGGGGGATGTTGTGGTGACAGATTTGGAAAAGGAGAGACAGTCACCTCCCTTAAGTCTGGACTTCCTCCTGGATGATAACGTTTTTGAAAGAGGAGCAGATCCCAAGGCAGCCTGGGAAGGGAAAATAGATCCTCTCCCACAGGTTCGGGTCTCTCCTGAGAGAGAGAAAGAAGAGGAGGACAACAGTACATTTTCATCAACAACCTGTGATACACCCCTCCCACTAGATACCTCTGTATCCAATAAGAAACCAGTGTTTTATATACTTGACTGCACAGAAACAGACTGCTCTGTCACTTTGGATTACTCAGAGGTTGAAAGCTCGTCTCTAACGAAGGAGGGACTTTATTTCACAGCTGACTGTAGCAAAGATCAGGAGAGCCAACAAGATCCAAGCTCTCTATCCTCTAATTTGGAGTCTCCCAACGACCAGTCTGTTTCAACCAATGAGCTTTCAGCGACAAAATCTATGGACACAGCCTCCATGACTCCGTCTGCTTCCAAAGAAGAGTGGGACACGGACAGCTGTGACACCGCTGAGGGAAAACAAGGTGTAAAAGATGCACCGAGAAGCAGTAAAAAAACTGTGCATACAAAGGGCAAAGCTAACAAAGCGACTAAGTGCATTGGAGGTCGCGGTGTGCGAATGCTGACCAGCAACGAGAGCCAGGGTATGCGGAAGGTTGTGCCCATTAGCAAGCTTACAAGGACAGGTAGCAACAAGAGAGCAGAGAGACCTTTGGCGCATGACAGTGGAGAATCACGCCGGCCTCATCGTGACCAGAGCACCCCAGCGAGAGGAAGGAGTGAGAAGACCGCAAAACCTCCTCGTCACTCCAGTCTGCCTCCTGATGAGGCAAAAGCTTCAAGGGGTGGTAGCCTCACAGGTGGCTTTTCGAGATGGGCACGCGATTCAACACCCAGAAAGGCTTCCATCCACAAGCCGAGCGCCAAACCCCTAAGGAACATCCCCAAGCCAGTTCCTGAGGAGAAGATGTGCCGCTCCACCATGAGAGCCCTGGCACAGGCCCAAGCTCAGGCTCAGGCTGGAGCTTGCTCTGAGAACAGCAGCTCTCACACACTGAGCACAAAAAACACCTCAGATGTCCCCAACTTTGCCCGCAACACCGTAGCTTCATGTTCCAGGACCAAGAAGGAGCTGGTACCCCCATCCATCCCCTCAGTCCCTTCCGTCCCCACCACCCCGTCTCGCAGCCCCTCTCTTGTAAGTCGACGTACCTCGGTGAAGCAGAATAGGTTGCCACCCACAGTTCACGCTAACGAGGAGCGGCCCAAGGGGACAAACCTGCGACGAGTGCAAAGTGTGAAAGCGGCCAGTCGCAGCGCCTACCGCAGCGAGACTCCCACACTGCCTACGAAGCATGAAGATATCCGTAAGACTGGTAGCTTTTCTGAAAAGTCTGTCCAGTCTAGAGACTCTGTGACGACAAGCAGAAGTGCTAAACCAACCTGGAAATAAATATAAACATAGCTAGTGTAGAAAGAGAGACTTTCTCCCTCAGTTTGATGTAAATTGATATTCACTCTTCTTTTCCATCTACAGTGCAGATGTATCCTCTCATATCATGCAAAAGACTGGAGTAAGAAAAAATTTCAGCTATTTCACCTTATAGGGTTCCTCCAATAGCTGACTCTGTATCAGGTTTATGAATTGCAAAGTGCAAGATGCAATGAACTGGTTTCACGTGTTCCTATTTTGATCGTACAAAAAAGCTATTGTTTTCGCAACTTCCTTTTTATCAAAGGGGGGTATAAACTAAAATGACAAATGGCAAATTGCTGTTTTACACAGGAGCCTCTTTGCCTGCTTAGCTGTCTATATACTGTATATGCTAGTGTATGTGATTATGTTGATGTTGAACACTACTGGCTATATAATGCTGCTAATTAGCTCCGACAATTTGAGACTGAGTTCATATGTTTCATTCAGGGTTACAAGATTTGTTGTATCTTAACTTGCTGCTGTTAATGGTGTCTTAGGGGTTTGCATCCTCCTGTAGAGTATCGCTCTGTTTGCTTATTGGTTTCTTTGCTTGATACCTCAGAAAGATCGCTGTGGCCTTTTACCAGCAGAGAAAGTAGAATATGTTAATTTGGTTCTGCATGATAAAGATGTAGACAGTACCTGATAAACTGGTTTGAACTGCAGTGTCACTTTTTACAAATCCCTGGTATATTAATATTACTACAACATATAAAGTCACAGATTATAAGCCACAACTGTGGTACTTGTATGTGTCAGTAGTTTGTAACTGTGTTAGAACTCCTCCATAATATCATGGAGTAGATGTGCACTTAGGAAGTTTTCTGTATACTGTAGGCTAATACATGATCAATGTAAATGCTTTGAAACAAAAGCATTGAACGCGCCTAAAACAACACTGAAATGATCATCAGTCATGTGATTGTTTTGTCACACTGGTCTAATTTTTCTACTGTGAATGTAGTCATCTGATTTTTTCTCTAGGCCTGCACTTTTCAAGATTAAATTACAAAAATTGCCCTAACTGGTCATCATTCAGCCTTGCCCCAGATTGTGCCTTTCATGCATTACCGTTACATTTAAGTCACAGAAATAAGCATCTGTTATTCCAAAAAATAATTACACAGTGATCTTTGAAAAACCCAGAAGGTTGTTTAACAACACTTAGCCTACTGCTGTTTTGATGGTATTTGCAGAATCCTCAAAGATTTTTCTAATCATGTGGAGGATAAAAATATTACACTGGACAATAAAAAGTTCCCCAAATTGCGACTGTGAGCCAGAAATGGAATATGTCCTTGCTCATTTTCTATCATTATTTTGTATAGAAACATCAAATACATTGTAACATCATATAAGACATATATCATTTTTGGCTACCACCTTTGTTTTGTTTCTTAAAATATTCTGCTCCATGGTAATACCATATATGCAGTCCATTTACAATAAAAAAATTGTGATTTTAAACCCTGTTCTCAAGTTGCACCAATGTTTCGTAATCCAAAGATAGTAGCTGGTAATTACAAATTTCCCTGCTCAGTTTGTACAATGTGAAACAAAAAAGTTTTATCAGTTATATTTGGCCATATTTATCTTACATTGGATTGTTTTTGTCATACGAAACGAGCACTGACTAATATTATTTCCAGCTACCTGGACAGGAAATATACCAGCATCTTAAGTGATGGGTCAAAAATCTTTTCCGTCATGTAGCCGATGGAAACGTTATTCATCCAAAGAGTCTTTGAGGATTCTTGAAATACCTTAAGAACACCTGTGTGACTTTTCAAAGATCACAAATTATTAAGATTATTTTGTGTAAATAGATGTTAAGCTCCATGACTCGACTATAATGGTAACATGTGAGAGGCACAAACTGGGGCTACATTCAGCCCTGTTGACCATTTCACACCACTTGCCTTTTAACCTGCAGTGTGCCATTGCCTTGATGGCAGCAACACTCACAACAGTGCATTGCCTTAAAGCTTAATGTAGCCGATCCATCATCAGTATAAACTCCCTGATTGTAAAAGGAGAGTAGAAACTTTTCCTGCGTTCCATCACACTGAACCGAAACAGTGACTCCGCTAGATTCACTTTGTAAATAATGTAAAGACATAGTATTTTTCTGACTCAGTATGTTTACATAGCATTAAAAAATGAAGGGTAAAAGAGTGACGTTTGTGAGCTCACGTATATTTTAAAATGGTCAGATGTTGATTCCTGACTTACAGTGTGTTGACATGCTGTGGGTGTCTTCCTTTTCCTTGTAATGCAAATGAAGTTGATTAACCAATGGCACAAAAGGCCCAGTGTGACATGCCACTGTGTGTGTGTGTGTGTGGTGTGGCCTGCAAGTGTCAAGTAAAGTAATGGACGGCTGCGACTAACGATTACTTTCATTATTGATCAGTCTGACGTATATGTTCTTGGTTAATCATTGGAACCCAAAGATATTCACTTCACAATCATTGCATAAAAAATTACAACATTATTTGATTGTTAAAATTGTTGCTTGTTATTTCATTGCTGACTGATAAATGAATTAATCAGCTAATTAAGCTCTAAATTAATGACTTTACTTTTGAAATTAGTATATATCCAGGAATGCTCCAGCTCATGAAATTTCACTGCCTAAAATAAAGTTATCTTTGATTTGAGTGTGAAAATTCACTATTGAAAGCTCTGGGAAAAGCTAGTAAGTGGACCTTGAGTTAAGATTGTCAAACCCATTCAAGATATTTTATAGTATAGAAGGAAGTATATCCTCGAATCCTTGAAATCACAAAGATTGTTGAAATTAATGTACTCTAACAGTTTGTAACTTGAAAATGACAACTTCAAACCTAAGAAAAATGCATTTTTAGCATACGTAACACTAAATTTGTCACTGGGTTTGTAGAAAAATGTCTCCCTACAAGGTTTAATTGTAGAATCTGTTTACATTTGGATTGGATTCTGGATTGGGTTGTTAAAAAACCTTGACACAATTCATATGATACGTCCCAATCTTCTGATGCTGTCTGTCCTTAGAGTCCTCCTTTGTGTATCCCACAATGCCCCCTGCTGCCCTCTTTTTAACAGCCCAGAGTATAACAATGGATGCCCTTTACATTACATCTGACTGGCTTACAGCGGTAGAGTTGCTGTGGAATTTGGATACTCACTTGCCCATTTATACCACAACTTCCTTGTTACAGTGGTGGTTACCATAGTAACAGTCCAAACATCAATTACCATCATTTACTAAAGACACTGTAAACCTAAAAGGTCAATGCCATCCACTAATGTTTGTCACATTACAACCCCCAGAGAGGCCTAAACTGACATTGTTTCATGTGACTCTGCCCAAATCACAATATGTGACTTTATATTATTTAGAGTCAATCTTTTTTTAGGCTTTTGTAATTCATTACTCGACAAATTTGCTGGCTAGCTGGTTCTATAGTTGTACTATGTATTTCCTCAATATATGTTTCACCAAATGATTAAATGTGTCTTGTCGCATTAATTCCCCCAATTGATGCCTTTTGTACACTGGAAAGGAACAACTACTGTGTTTTTTGTTTTGTTTTTTTACTTTGTGATGAGAGTCTTGACATATCTACTTTTATTTTCACACCTGGGGGAAAATATGTGCTCTTCTGCTCTCCCTGGTCTTTTACAATCTGAAATCTCACAATGAAAAAGAAAAAAGACTGATCACTACGCTGAGCAAATGATCATCTCTGATCACTTGACCACAGGGCTGCAAATTGTGTATTGCAGTTTATATTTCTGGCTGTAACATCTAATAAATAAATAAAATCACATGTTGCTGTGTAAACTGAAAACTTGTTCTTTGTGTTTCTTTAAACTTATTGGTCATCCTAAGAATGGATGCTCTAAAGAAAGGGAACAACTAATCTCCAATAACCTAAAACAAATGTGCAGTTATTTGTATTGAAACACTCCTGGCAGCAAAAAAGTAAAAAACCCTTCAATCTGTGAACATCAGTGGTGGAAGAAGTACTCAGGTCCTCTACTGAAGTAGAAGTAGCAATACCACACTGTGAAAATACTCTATTAGAAGTAAAAGTCCTGCGTTCAAAACTTAATTTAAGTGAAACTATGTGAGTATTATCAGCTAAATTTACTTAAAGTTTCAAAAGTAAAAGTACTCATTTGGCCTGAAAAGACTCTGTGTTTTACTATTATATATTTCTGGATTAATATTACTGGTGCATTAATGCGTGTGTTGCATTTTACTGCTGTAGTGTGCGAATGTAAGGGTATGAAATTAACAAAAGCTGTCTCCCTCTGAGATGTAGTGGAGTAGAAGTATAAAGCTGCATAATATGGAGTAAGTAAAGTACAAGTATCAAATCCTATCTCAGGTTCAATACTAGTAAATGTACTTAGTTGTATTCCACCACTGGTGAACATGCAGGCTGTAAGAGTCACACCTCAGCCTCTAAACCACTAGAGTGCAGCAGAGTATTTTGTGTGTCAGCAGTCCTGTAAATACACATCCTCAGCCAGTTCTCTGGTGTAGCCACTACATGTTAGTATTATACAATATTGTCTTTTCACATGTTTTTGGTTTTTTGTAATTTGTTTGAGAATTGCTATTATGACAGGCAAAAGAGAGAATCACATGAGTTACTCCTTCAGTAAATGGAGAGATGGACTTTATAAAAGTCAAGTGAACCAAAAATAGCAGAATAAGATATATTTGCAGTTTCACATCCACTATATATATATATGGTCAAGAGAATTAAACTAAAAGAAGGGTTAAACACTGATTGAATTATACTGAAAAGCACTCAGGAGTTATAACGTATTTATTCTTAATTTATTCAATTTCTGAAATTACAAATAAGCCACTCTAGCTTTACATAATGATGAACATATGCTTTCTCGTTCAAAGCAAAAAACACTGTTCAACCTTCTTATATGACTGATTATATAATTACTATATACATATTATATTATTATCATATTATAACTACTTCATACATACAATAGACATGTGCTTAAAAAGGCAGAATCCATCATGTCTGATAGTTCTCACTGTATTTTTAATCGATGTTGTCGTCTTTGTTGTTATGTACTCTGTGTCAACTTCTTTGCTACTGCAGCAAAACTAATTGCCCCTTGGGGACAAATAAAGGTCTTGAACTTGAACTTGAACTACATTTGGATCTATTTGAAATAAATTGACAAAAGCCACATTTAATGGGAGAAAGATTCACATCTTCGGACACCACACACACTGTAGTATGATTTGTCTGGTATGACTTAGTTCTGTATATATA